TTTCTTTCTTTCCTTCCTTCCTTCCTTCCTTCCTTCCTTCCTTCCTTCCTTCCTTCCGTCCTTCCTTTTCTTCCTTTTTGTGCTGAAACCTGGGAATGAAGGACTGAGAATTTCTAAATCAAAAACATCAAGACTGAGATTCAGGGTTAGAAGTTCAACATTGAGAATTGGGCCCAGGTTGACTCTTTCCTCACAGCTGAGCCCCATCTGCTTTGTTAGCAGGGTCCCCAAGCTCACCCCTTTCAGTGGGAATTTGTTTTAGAATTCAGTTTGGCTGATTGCTCACAATTAAGCTTAGATTAAGTTTTCTTGATGAGACTTCTACATGGGTAATGATGTATGCTTACCTTTGCATCACATCAGGGGCATATTATGTCATTTTGTCCCATTACTTGCATGCTAAATTTGATGTCTTGGTTAATGTAGTATTGGAACCCAGCAGGACCCTATGGGGCCTTCCCGGAACAGACCCCTACCCCCATATCCTCGGCAGTAGCTCCTCTCTGAAGTACCCAGATAATAGATTCTCATGCAGATTTCCTGAGTTTTTCAGGTGCTAAAACCCACCACCAAATGGAAGAAATTAACTACTTGATGATCCTGAGCAGGTAGCCCCCAGATCCTCTGGAGCCTAAGGATTGAGCACCATCAACCAATCAGAACTGTGCACAGCTGGTACACACAGGGGGATGCCCCTCCCTCAGCTAGCCTTTAAAAATGCTCAGCTGAAACCCTCCAGGGGAGTTTGAGGGGTTTTTTGGACAGGAGCCACCCATTCTTCTTACTAAGCCCAGAAGTAAACCTTTCTCTGCTCCAAACTCCCATGTTTCGATATTGTTTGGCCTCAGTGTGCCTCAGGCACATGAACATGCAACCAGTTTTGGCCAAGCCAGCCAGGAACCAGCAGTGCCCACGGCAGGTCCACCCTGGCTAAGGGCAGCCCCTACCCTGGGTCCCCAGCAGCTGCTGGAGCTCACTTTACTCTGGGGAACTGGGAGGGACTCCCCCTGACAGGCACTGGCCACCTTGTGGCCCGGGGCTGTTTGGAGCCGAGAAACGTCTGGAGCCATGGTGCATACTCGGTGTCGCCTCGGGGTGAGTCCATCCGGCTTGTGCAGGATGCGAAATCTCTCCACTCCATCTGGGCTCATTCCCTTGTGGGAAACCAGCCACTCTGGTCTGTTCTCTTTCGGGAGATGGGCCAATCTGTTTGGCGGCCTCCATCTGGGCAGAGAAGTAGTTTTTAAACTACATCTCCTCTGATTGTCTGTCTGTGTGACCGTAGCTTGTTTGCGTTTCTGTGTGTATCCTTTTAGGGTGAGCCATTCCAGCTTGTGCAGGATGGGAAGTTCCACCTGCTCTGCCTGGGCGCAGCCCCTTCTGGGAAGTGAGCCTTTCTGGGCTCACTGGGAGCCACTCTGGATCCATTCTTTTTTGGGAGCCAGGCCACTCTGGACTTCTTGACAAGTACAGGTTCCTTTTAAATCATACTACTGAGCTGGGTAAGATATTTTAAAAAAATCTAATGAAAACCCTATTTCATAAAACTTAGTAAAAAGGATTGGTTGCATAGGGTTTGAGTGAATTGATGAATATGGTTATAATTTTCTTATTCTCTGAAGAATTACTGGCTTTTAATCTGTTTTCTAATTGAACTGTTTACCAAATGTTTGTTTCCCTATCAATACTGCCCCCAATGTTTAGGATAGAAAGAGATTTCTCTAGTGGAGTTGTCACAGAGTGTAATTACTCCTGATGTGTAACAATGTTTGCTTTAAATCTAATGCTAAAAGCACACGTACTATGTTTGTGTAACAACTGGGTGTAAGTGATAAAATGTGTAGCCTGTAAAGTGTTTCCCCATTAACGTACCTCTGAGTCTGTTCACAATATCTGATGAGTTTTCCCCTACGTGGATAGGAAATCTAAAAGGAGGCCCAGCATCAAGGGACATGGGCTAAACCTGGGGCAGGAGCCACCACCCCAGCATCACGGGACAGATATTTCACTCATCAATGTTTTCTATTGAAAGATTTGCAATCAAAAGGGGAAATGATGGAAAACCCTGCAAGTGTTGAGCTACGGGGAAGTCATTCTGACTTATACATGGTTTAACTTCAGCTTTACTGACCAAAGTGGCCTGTTTTATGGCTGTCTGTACACGCATTGCACATCTGCTTTGGTCTTGAGAAGGGGAATGCGTTTGAAAATCTAAGTGGAGTAGCTGCGGCTTAGACATCCAAGGTAAAACGAGGTAGCCACTGTGGATGTGATTTCAGACACATTCTCAAATTTTCTGATGCCACCAGCCATTCTCAAAGTCTCAGTGTCTGCTGGCAGGTGGCAACTGCAACCTTATGACCTCAAGTTCTCCTCTTGTAACTATTCAATTTTTAAATGATAAAATTACTTTTGGTCATATGTTAGCAGTAAAAAGATAGGTGTAGTGGCCAATAGCGCCTGTTGTATATATACATTATTACCACATCAAAAGATAAAACTACTCAGATGAAAGTAGACAGCTGGCTACCTAGCTGCAAGTCTGCCCCAAAGTGCCAGGTGCAGACTGATTTTCAGGCTTATTCCTTTGAATTCCTCAGGGAATGAGATCTTAAATTTATAACACTTATAAGATCCAGGACTTGGAACTCTGGAATATTTCCAACTAGGTATCCATTTCCCAGATCAAGGTAGGACTATGCCCCCCTTTCAGGAGGCAGTAGCCAGAGCTACTGTCACCCCCTTCCCTGAAAGATCTGGGGAGGGATGAAACGGGATTGGAGATTGAAGCTGAGTTCCTCTGCCAGGTTGTTGATGAAACTTTCTATCCAAAATATGATTCTCCAACACCTGTTCTCCTCAAGATTGAGGAGTATCAAAGGAAAGAGCGGAATTGTAACCGAGCAGGACCCTATGGGGCCTTCCCGGGACAGATCCCTCCCAGATACCCTCTGCTGTAGCTCCTCTCTGAAGGATCCGGACAATACTGTCTGATGCAGACCTCCTGAGTTTTTCAGATGCTAAAACCCACCACCAAATGGAAGAAATTAACTACTTGATGATTATGGGCACCAGAAGCTCGTTGCCCCCAGACCCTCTAGAGCCTAAGGATTGATCAGCAAGAACAAATTGATCACTGTCAACCAACCAGAACTGTGCACAGCTGATCACATCCCATTGGATGCCTCTCCCTCAGCTCGCCTTTGAAAATGCTCAGCTGAAACGCTTTGGGGAGTTTGAGGTTTTTGGAACATGAGACATCGGTTCTCCTTGCCTGATCCTGCAATAAACTTCTCTGTACTCCAAATTCTAATGCTTCAATATTGTTTGGCCTCACTGTGCGTCAGGCACATGAACCGGTGCTCGATAACAGTGTCTGCCAGAACTCCATCGTATAGGCAAGGTTTTGCTTTGAAATTTATTAAAGTTGGGGATTTATTCATTATAGGTTAAAGTATGTGTTTATGTTCTCATTTTTAGCCTTTTCATTTTTTTTGCTTCATATCTATTGTTTAGCAGACTATTAGCAAAGACTAGCACATAATTTGGATATGCATCCCTGAATTCTACAACCATACATGTGGTAATGAAACTATTTCTCCATCCTGTTCAAACTGTTCCATCTGGCAAGAAGATACATTCGTGGTTCCTATGGCAATTCTTCAAGGCAGAATCCATAGTTTCCCCATTATAAATCTCTCCACAGTAACTTACACTGTATGTTCTGGTCAATTCCAGATCATACTGGTAGGTGATATTTTTAGTTCTCTTTTAAATGGGTTTCTCCCATAAAAACACACAGAATCTGGGATTACACCGGCTCTAACAGGGGGTCAGAGTATCACTTAGAAGGAATATTGGCCACTATTTCCCCCTCACTTTTTTGGTTTGTTTTTTAAATGGAGATATTGGGGATTGAACACAGGACCTCATGCATGTTAAGCATTCACTCTACCAACTGAGCTATACCCACCCACCCTCCCACTCACTTTTATTTATTTACAATAAATTTTCTTTATTTTTCCTTAGTGGAGGCACTGGGGATTGAACCCAGGACCCCATGCATGCCAAGCATGCTCCCTACCACTGAGCCATAACCCCCACCCTCACTTTTATTAACATTGTGATTTTTTTTCTCACAATGATTTAAGACTCATATATTGTCAGAAGGGAGTTTTATGCGTTATTACCAAAAGCTGCAGCCCAAGCAAAAGAGGTATGCTAGCTGCATTGTGGTGGCTGTTTCAGACCTTGGAAAGTGACTTTACAAGAGGTTCAGCATCATCACATCATTGCAGTGTGGCTGGGACAGCTGAGCACAGGACAGCAGGCTTACCCCTGTCTGCTCAGCCTCCTGTGTCATATCTTTCAGCAGGTCTCTGATTTAAGTTCTCTGTCTACCCATGCTCCTCCAGTTTATAGTTGTAGCCTTCACAACAAAGCAGAGATGAATTTATGTGGACAAAGAGCATCAGGGTGTTTGGAAATCTTGCTGTGCACTGGGCCTGTGACAGTAATTTCGGGTCTGAAGGCCGTTTGGGGTTGGCTTGTTTTTACTGATTCCTTTTTGTATTTTTCAGAGCAACTTGACTGCCTTGCTCTGGAGATGCCGTTATCAGGAGTTGCCTCTGCCCAACCTTATGCAGATCAGCTGGTGGGCTGCATAGCTGGGAACTTTTTCTATCTGGGGGTCGTACAAACAGAGGAGTAAAGACTGCAAGGCTCTTTGGAACATGCTTTAATGGAAATCATCATCTCTTTAGTCATTCCAAGGAATCCACTTCGATGTGGTTGAGAAGCATTGGGAAGGTGATCCTGGGTTCAACTCTAACCGTACCTCGGCAGCTTCGTGAACTGTCTCCTCATTTTCCACAGTAAATTGTCACTGCTGAGGGCACCTATCAGTAGGTCAGGTAGCAGCTGCGTGAAGGCTTTCTGGTGGTACCCAGAAGGCAATTTGTACCTTTTAGAAGGAGACTAATCTTTTAGCATTTTAATTCCTTACAACTGAAGAGGTTGACAAAACTCAAAAATTTTCTGCATTTATTATTTAAAAATATTTGACACTGTTGCAACACCTCTTCGACTTGTAGAAAGCATAAATGCTGTCATTTATTACCACGTTACTGTGTGGGCGTACGTTACTCTTAAGGCATTGCAGTGATACCAATATTCCCTAGGTGTGAGTGTGAATACTGTCACTAGTTCATTCATAAACATGGCCTGAAATAAGGACTACACATTGCAAGGACCCCCTTATGGCAAGGGAGCTCAGTGCCTTCAACAGCAAACACTGTGCCAGCGAGGAGCTGCTCTTTGTTTTAACTGTTCCAGCAGACACAGCATATTCAAGATTGGTCTCTTCTTGTTGTGATGGACATGACTGTATTCTATTTCTATCTTTAGGACCAGACTGGAAAAGTCATTGTAATGAAAGAGAATCAAGTGAATGAAGATCAAGTGAATGATTCCTAAGTAGAGAAAGGAGGAACTCCATGTGATCTTACATTCAGAATGAAGACTGCCTTATTCACTATCCTATGTCATCCTGGATTCTTCAGGTACCAAAATGGACTTTGGAGTTTTTATAGTCAGGGTTCTCCAGAAAAACAGAACCAGCAGGGGAGACATATGAGGACTTATTATACGAATCGGCTCCCATAATCATGGAGGCGAAGTCCCCTGATTTGCCATCTAGAGAATTAGGAAAGCTGGGGGTGTAATTCAGAGTCGATGACCAGGGGAGTCACTGACGTAAATCTGAGTCCCAAGACGCGAGTGCCAAGAGCACAGATGTCTGAGGGCAGAAGATAGATGCCTCAGCTTAAAGCGAATTTGCCTTTCTTCCACCTTTCAGTTCTATTCAGATCCTCAGTGGATTAAATGATCCCACCTACCTTGGTGAGGGTGATCATCTTAACTCAGTCTGCTGAGTCAGATGCTAGTCTTGTTCCAGAGAAACGCTCACAGACACACTCATAAACAATAATTTACGAGCATCCGGCCATTCCTTAGCCCAGTCAAGTTGACATGTATAATTAACCACCAGTTTTCAATACAGCCTGCAGATGTCCTGCTCAGATGGGCAGTGGCGCAGCGCATGATTGAGAGAAACATCTGAGAGCAACTCCTGGAGTGGTCCCAGTTCAGCATCATATTAGAACTGGAACCCATAAATTACTTTTTTCATACATTACTTTTAGAACCAGAAAAATACTACTTTTATAGCCAGAAAAAAATTATAAAGTTATTTTCATTTTTAAAAAAAATGTTTTTCCTTTTTACTGTTTTTTGTAAACTATAGCAAAGTACAAAGAAAACAAATCACCCAAATGTCACTATCCAGAGAAAAGCAACTGACATTTTATAGCAACTTATAAGTCCTTTCAATGCATATCACATTGGTTCTCAAACTTTAGTGTGCATCAAAATTAGTTAAAGCAAATGCTTTCAAGTCAGTAGTTCTGGGGGTGGGCCCGATAATTAGGATTTCCAACCACCTCTCCAGTCATGCTGCCACTGCCAGTCCAGGGACCACACAATGAGAAGCACTGCCATGTAATTTATACCTTTGCTATGTAAGTAGGGCCTCCAACCAGCAGCACTGACATCACTTGGGAGTTTGTTGGTAAGGCCAACTTCGGCCCCACTCCAGACTTACTGAATCAGAATCTGCAGTTTAACAAGATCCCTAAGGGATTTTTGTAAGCACGAGTTTGAGAAGCACTGGTTTATCTTTGAGCCTCATACTGTCCAAAAGATAGCTTTTCCTCCCTCCCTACTTTATTTGGTATAATTTACATATAATGCAACACTTTGTAACAATTAAATGAGCTTTGGTAAGTTTTGAGAGTTTTATATCTCTTCCCTACCTCTCCTCAACAGAATGAGGGCTTTCCTGTGATATTAAATATCTTGGGAAAATATGACTTAATTGGCTGCATAATACATGGCAAGGATGTACCAGTTTGACCAATTTTTCTATTTTCTAGCATATTTCTCTAGGACACCTGTGCTGTTCCCAGCTTTTCACCAGTGTAAATAATGCTTCAATGAACACTTTTGAACACAAATTTTTCGACTTCAGAATAATTTTCCAAAGTGGAATTACTGAGGAAAGGAATAATAGGCAACGGGCAGGCAAGAACAGATGTCAATTACTTTAGAAGAAAAAGTTAATGAATTAAAAACTTTTAACTTTTTTTATGTGTTTGGGTTTCAGGAAAAATGGAAAGAAATCACTTAAATTCCATTGCAGCAGGAACAGAGGAGTAATGTATCTTAAACAAAATGGCTTAGTAAACTTTAATTGAACAAGGCAACAGAGAAATGAAATACTACAATAGAAAAACTAGATTTGGTGGATATTTTCAGAGCTTTACACCCCCCAAAAATAGACTATACATTCTTTTCAAGTGCACATGGAACATT